AGAGGGAGAGGGAGAGGGAGAGGGAGAGGGAGAGGGAGAGGGAGAGGGAGAGGGAGAGGGAGAAGAGGAGGGAGAGAGGGAGGGAGGGAGCAACCTGGCACTCCAAACTGGCCCCAGCCAAGACGGAATCGGGAGGTATGGTTTGAAACATCCTACAACATTGGACGTTCAGCGGCAACATGTACAGACAGACAGAAAGTCAGAAGACAGACAGAGAGACAGCGGGAGAAGGAGAGAGGGGACGAGAGGGGATGAGATGGAGGGAGCGAGGGGAGGGCAAGGCAGGGAGGGAGCAGCCTCAGCCTGCACCTGTGCGCGTCATGGATCAGCTGCTCCAAGGGAAGATCGCTGGGCAGCGTTTGCATGACAGAATGAATCATAGAATAATCGCCTGACAAGATCCTCAGCCAATCATCGCATCCTCCCCCATCCGATACCCTTGCTCGGTAGGAGCTGCTGTCTTTGCCAGCACAGCAAGGAGGCAGAGAAATATCTGATCAGGGACGTTAGGGCAGCAGCTGGGGTGGAGATGGATACTCACAGAGACATGAGGGGATGGCTGGCCAAGAAGAAGTCGTACAGTCGCTCTATCTGCACGATCGTCATCATCATCATGACCATCATCATCAACATCCTCCTCGTCCTCGTCCTCCTTCCCTCCTCTTCCTCCTCCTCATCACTACCACCACCATGCGTGATAGTGATAGCTCCCACCTTGTCCAAGGACTTGAGGTCATGTGCGAACCAGGTCAGGATCCAGCTGAGAGCGAAGATCGGGTCGACTTCGCACTCGCTGAGGCACTCGTAGAGCTTGCGGTCCCGTCTGCACATCATCGTCAGAACAAGTCTGACTCGTCGTTGATCGAGCTTGCTCGCCTCTTAATGATATTCATGAGTAGATGAAGGGCTTGCTGTACCGCAAACATGCTCTTGTTCATGGCCTCGCGGAAATGATACTTAGCCAGTCGCTCTGCCACAGGCAAGGCCGTGGAGTCGCTCCCCATCACCTGAACGACATGTCAGCTTACTCAAAGTCACCATCAGCATCCTCCGACTCGCCAGGATCGCCACCGAGCAAACGTCGTTGAACCCCTGGTAGTAGTGCAAGTCCGGGTTGGTTGCCAGGATGGTGTCGATGACTGTCGACAGCTCTGCCAGCCTGTGCTCCCTCGTCCTCTTCCTCATGTCCGTGTAGAGCATCGAGCGAACTACGTCCAACTCGACTTGCTTCTTCTCACGATGATCCCTCTTCACCAAACTCGACGAAGTCCAGGAATCGTCCACCTCGACTCTCAGCAGGCGAGGCCATATCTTCCTCCTGAATGCAGGACTGAGGAAGCCATCTGTGACTGCTGCTTTCCGCAAGGACTCTTGCATCTCCTCATGGGGCAAATTCAGAATGTTCACCAATTTCATGGCGTGCCTTGCCCTGTTCTTTCCCTTGACCTCTTTCCTCTTGCCCCCTACAGCTATCCATTGTACGATCTCACTTGCCATGATCTTTGACGTCTCAGGCAGTGAGATGTGTGTTGGACAAGTAGATACTTGTAACGCGCTCCCTGAGCCTTGCCTGGTGAGTTCTCCGTTCGATCAAGTACAAAACAGCCTGAAATCAGTCTGGTTCGTTCCCCCCGCGGGCAAACCGCTCGTTCTTGGCGAGTGGATCGTTCTTTTCAGCCTTGCCATTCAATATCTCATCCCTGATCTCCTCTTCATCCTCCTCCCTCTCCTCCTCTCCTCCTCTCCTCCCTACCCTTCGCTTCTCCCGCCAACAACGGCATCTACTGTCAGCATTACGAGGCGGGCCGCTGAAAACAATACGGCGTCTTTTTTCTAAAAAAAACAAAAACAACAACTGTAAAAGCACTCCGGACACCCTCAAGCACAGGCATCACCGGATACACCAACTAGTCCAAAGGGCGAAAGATGGCGGGAATGGAGCGGATCGAGCGAGAGGAGATGCTGAGGAAGCGGAGCGAGGAGGCCGACATGCGGCGAACAGAAGCACTGAGGATGGCTCAGAGCGTTGTGATGCAGCAGGAGGCGAAGCTTCTCTCCTCTCCTGCAGCCAACAGGAGCCATGGAAGTCGCAAGGTGGGTCGTGAAGCTATGCATATCATGCAGCGATAGTTGAGCTGTGCTGGGGAGTCAGACGAGAGACGTAAAGTCTCAAATGCTCGTATGATGACCGTCTTAGCACTCCATCCATGTCATCCTTTGCTGTGGCCTCTTTGTCCTGTGTTGTCCTCATTGTCATCGAAACACAGATCCGGTTGACGTTCACCTTTCCCCCAGGGACACGATTCTGCCGGCTCTTCTCCTGCCAAGTCTTCTACCCATTACTCCACACCGACGAAGAAGAAGCACTTGGAGGACGACGATTACGACGAGCAAGCGTACGAGGATGAGGACGAGGATCGGGACGAGGGCGCTGCGTTCGGAAACGAGGATTTTGAAGTTGAGGAGGACTACGATGCCGGAGGTGGGATGGCTGCTGCTGCCGAGAGCCAATGGAGGAGCCGAGCTCAGCAAGCGTCCAAGAGAGAAGGCGATGACGATGGCCATGTTGCGACCCCACAGATGGGATCAGAAGCAACGATCAGGTTTGTGTAACGTATGCGATCGGGAGTTGGGCTGAAGTAGTTGGATGTTAGGTACTTGAAGGCAAAGCTGAAAGTGATGGAGGAGGAGGTTTCAGAGGCCAATCAGTGTCTGCAAGAGCAACAAGATCGATTGACGTACCTGGAGAAGCGGAATCAAGAGCTGGAGGAATCTTCGACCAAGAGCTCCAAGCTCAACGAGAGTTTGAAGGTGGACATTGGTTCTCTGCTCCTGCCCCTCACGGCCTTGATAGGTGAAGTTGGAGAAGGTGAAGCAGGAGCTTCAGGACAAGACGAAGCTGGTGACGATGTTGCCATGCACCTTGAGAACTCTTGACGACACGGCAGGCTGAGTCATTGGAGAGGCAGCTCTCCGCAAGCATCAAGGAGAAAGAGACGATCGAGAGGGCTCAGAAGCAGAACGATAGCTTAGCGGGAGCCAAGGACGTCCGTCTGAACAGAGCCCTCGAGGAGGTTGAGAGATACAAGAAACTCTTGGCCGAGACCAAGACCAGCAGCTCCGAAGTGACTGAACAAGTCCGGAAGCAGCTTGACGCGGTTGGCACAACTTTTCTCCCTTCACCCGCTTCTCACCATCCTTCCCTCCTTTCTCCCTCTCCTCGCGTCATCATCCCGTCAGGACTTCTGATGTCCCTTCAACCTTATCCTGCACTCCCTTCTCCCCTTCCTACAGGCACCCCCCCCCTCCCTCTCCCTCCCTCTCCCTCCCTCTCCCTCCCTCTCCCTCCCTCTCCCTCCCTCTCCCTCCCTCCCCGCAGCAAGGATGATCCTTTCACAGGCCGTGGTTGAGAAGAAGAAGCTGGCAAAGCAGAAGGCGGAGCTCATCTCCGGGTTCAAGAGCCAGATGAAGCTCATCGACGTGCTGAAGCGACAGGTAGAGGAGAAGGAGGCAGCGTGGACGGGGGGGCTGAGCTTCCTTCCAGGTCATCCACCTCCAGGCTGCCAAGACGCTAGCAATCACCGAGCAGGAGTTCACCAAGGCGTTGGAGCTGGGAGACTCGATCTAGAGCAGGGAGGGAAGTTTGTTAAGAACGCATCATGTGGCATGTACAGGATGTCTGCGACTAAGAGCCTTGTCGAGCACAAGTTCAACTTGTCACTTGTGCTCCTTGACAGCCGCCCGCACGACCGTGATGGAGGCGCCGGGCTGCCACAAGAATATCTTTTCCTTGTTCAGCGGGTCCTCCCGCATGCTGCACCAGGACGGCGCCACCCGCGCGATGAACTCCAGCTGCTCTTCCACCTGGCCCTGGCATGTCACATGGAGTGTGGGAAGCACGTGGGGAGTGGGGATGAAGGGGACGTGTGGAGAGGGGGAGCGAGGGAGCGAGGGAGCGAGGTAGGGAGCAAGGGAGCAGGGGAGGGAGGCTGACCTCGAATCTCGTCATTGAGGAGTCCCTGTGCTGCCCCAGCATCTTCACCGCCAGCTCTCGCAGCGGCATCGCGTTCCTGCACGCCCCCCTCAGCCGGAAGTGCGCATGCACCATCTCTGCTAGGAGCAGCGCATTGGCCGTGTTGACTCGACCCGTCGGCGCCTTGTCGCTGCGGGCTGGGGCCTCTTGCGAGGCCTCGTCGCGTCTCTTGTGGGGACTTGCCTCGTCCTTCTTGGCCTCCTGCGCCTTCTTCAGCTCCTTGAGGCGAATCTTCTCGATCAGCGCAGGAGAAAGTCCAGAAAGAGACTTGGGGACGGGCTTAGCGAGAACCTCCTTCTTCGCCTCCTCCTCCATCGCCTCCTTTGCCTCCTCCCCTGTCCCCCCATGACTCTCCTTCCCCTCGCGCTGGTTCAAGACAGCGAGCAGAGCTTGTCGGACTGCCCCCGAGGACTTCGAGAGCGTCTCCTTGAGCGCCTCGTTCTTGCCCTCCTCCAACTTGATCTCCTCGACCTCGTTGGGCTTGAGAGGAAGAGGGGCGGGAGGGATGTCTTGAATCTTCTCCACTGAGAAGTCCTTGTGCCAGACGAGATCGTCCTCGTCTTCGTGCTCCTCCCACTCCCTCGCCATCTCCTCCTTCACTTTCTGAAGCCCCTTTCCCTCTAGGAACAGGTCGTGCTGCTCCTTCACCCTCACCAGCATCTTCTTCCGGAGCTGCCGCTTCCTCTCGAGCAGAAGGCTGCAGCAGGGTGAGATGCGTCAGGGTAGAGCTGAGGAAAGAGAACCTGGGTGAAGGACGAGAGGAGCCAGGTCCTTCGCTTGGGAAGTCGACGGTCAACTGAAACCTTCCGTCCTTGGCGATCCAACCCAGCCGGTAGGCAGCTGGGAATGCGGAGACGATCTTGGGGGAAGTCAGTTACAGCAAGGAGAAGGAGACAGGAGCAGCAGCAGCAGCAGCAGAAGGAGCAGCAGCAGAAGCAGCCAGAAGGAGCAGCAGCAGCAGCAGCAGCAGCAGCAGCAGCAGCAGCAGCAGCAGCAGCAGAAGGAGCAGCAGCAGCAGCAGGCGGCGGCGGAGGAGGAGGAGCAGGAGAGTTCGAGCATCAATCACCTGCTGGAGGCTTCGTAGGGGAAAGTCTCGTTTTGAGATGTCCTGGACGTTCCGCTGAAGCTGGGTGAAGGTACAGACCTCCGTCTGTGGGGCAAAGTAAGAGCGAAGGAGGGGGGTGGGGGTTGGGGGGAACGAGAGCTACTGACCGGACGCCTCGACTTGGCGAACGAGAGGGAAGTGTCGAGACAGTCGAAGTGCTGGATGAGGCGATTGAACGACTGCCGTTGAAAAGTTGACATGTCAGTCCCCCGTGACCTCCCAGCTGGTCATGGCTGACCTGCGGCAGCTGGATCTCCCGCTCCTGCTCGACCACGGCTGGGACTAGGGCCAACAGATCTTCAGCTGGAAGGATTTGCCTGCCGAGAGGGAAAGTCAAGATGTGGCGAACGGCCTTAGAGAGCCGGTCACCTGCGATGAATCATCTGAGAGGAGCGATCAGGAACGCGCGCCATGGACTTAGAGATAGTCCGAGCCTTTCTTCTGAAGTCCGCAAGTCAGGAAGGGAGGCATGTGGGTAAGTAGGATCAACGGGGTTGAAACCCAGAGAACGAGGATGCGGACTGCGACGAGGAGAGTGGGGAAGAGGACGAGGAGGACGAGGAGGTCGAGGAGGACGAGGAGGACGAGGAGGACGAGGAGGACGAGGAGGACGAGGAGGACGAGGAGGACGAGGAGGACGAGGAGGACGAGGAGGAGGATGGGGAGGAGGACGTCGAGGACGGGGAGGCAACCTCTGAATGGCCATCAGCTCTCTTGTGTTGGCCCTGGCTCTCTCGGCGATCGTCATTTTCCTTTCACTCTGCAAGAACTCCCGAGCTTCCTCCATCACAGATTCCTCTGCTCCCCCTTGGTCATGCACCATCATCCCCGTTTCCTTCCATCTCACCTGGACGCGTCTCCTCTACCATCTCCAGCTTCTCCTTACGAATGTGCAAGGCATGATCCACAATGGCAAGTCCCCTGTTCTTGGGGGACGCCTTCATGGTGGCTTCTACCTTAGGCAGCTCAACCTCAGCTGGAGAGGCTTCAGTCGGAGTGCCTGGTGGATCTTTTGCCAGCTCGCATTGATGAGGGTCCAAGCTCGGAGGGATCGCCTCTTGCTGACCAGGCGGCAACTTTTGTACATCTTCATGGCTGGTGCTCGTTGTTTGCTCCTCTAACGATACGAGGGATGGAACAGGTTGTTCCTCCGTCTGTTCCTTGCTAGTCTCCCAGGTCTTCTCCGACTTCTTCTTCTGTGCCGCAAACTTCTTGAGGGGCCTGTCGTTGCCTCGCACCTACCCTGAAGTCAGGACATCTGATGTGCCCGGACAAGCATCACCTGCCGCCAGTCTTCTATGAGCAACCTTTGGTTCTGCTCGTGAATTCTCCCTCGTTTCGTCATGGTCTGTACAGCAATGGTCGCTCGACTGTACAAAGCAAGAACTGCCACGACAGGTAAGTGAAATTTTTGTCCAAAGACCTTGGAGAAGCCTCTTGTCGCAATGTTGGTGCAAAAAAGATACTACTAGAGATGGAAGAACATTGGATTCACATACAACATCTAATTATCAGGATGGGTGATCTTGTATTGGATGAAGAAATGGCATTCAAACATTGAACACATGCTGGGACGGAAATGCATCGTACAGTGGAATAAGTTACAGGAGGGCGGAGGGAGGAAAAAGTAGCAGAGGCACTCAGTCAGTCAGTCCGTCAGGCAGGCAGGCTAGCTGGCAATCAGACAGGTAGTCGGAATGGATAAACTGATGGATGGGAAGAGGAAACGGAGCAGCGGGGAAGAGAGAAGGGAGAGGATACATAAAAGATTCACCACGAATGGAGCTGCGAAAGGTGGACAGAGAGTGGAGGGATACGAAGGAAGTGATGGAGATAAAAGAGAGAAGGGATGCAACAAGTGCAGTGGAGCAGGGAAGGAGCAGGAGGATGCGAGGGAGGGAGGGAGGGCCAAGGAGACGGGGAGGAGGCGATAGGGGGGAAAGGGATCTCGTTTTGCCTTCCCAAAGAGGAAACCCTTAGAGACGTAACCGTCATAACGAATAATCAAAGTTTGTAAGTTTGAAGATTGGGGGCTGAAAAATATTTCTAGGACGGTCAGAAGTTTGCTACACCCCCACCCCCTTTATGAGCTATTCAGTTTTAAAAAGTACCCCTTGTCCAAAGATTTTTCCCAGGAGGTGAAAGTTTGGCAAGTCTCAAAGTTTTGGTACTGTTGGAACATGCAGCCGCCGCTACGGCCTGCGACGAGGACGAGGACGAGGAGCACAAGCGCGACCATGGCGACGATGACGACGAAGAGGATGAAGATCGTGACGACGACGATGTTGTTGTCTTCATTGATATCACTCCCATGTGTGCAGTGCTTCCATGTTTCTCATCCCCCCCTCCTCCACCGCCAAGAAAGTAGCATGCTCGTTCTCTGTCGCCCACATATGAAGCTTGCCAGCCCTCGGACCTGCAGCACAAGGATGAGCCATGTGCGTGTAGAGGGGATGCCAGAGGAATCTCAGCGCTCGAAGAGGGAGCGTGTGGTCAGGTCCCTGGGATCCGTGGTTGTAGCAGCGTCTGTGGGCGTTGCGGGTTTAAGGTCTACGAGTTGGGAGCTCCCGTTTCAACAGACCTCGTCTGAGAGCAGCGTTGTAAGATCGTACAACCAGAAGCTCGCCTTCGTGGAAGAGGATGATGTCGGCGCTCGCGATGTTCGCACTATTCAGCCATCGGACAACAAGGAGCCAGAAATCAAGGTACGGTGATTGGATCCGACGGCGATCCAACGGCTGACAGTTCTTGCAGCTCACCTTCACAGAGAAATGTTTCGCTCTGGCGTTCCTGGGCGTTGCCGTCGGGCTCCCTTGCTTGCTGTGCTGGGTCTGTCCGCTGTTTCTAGGCCGACCCCTTGCTGACTTGAACGCTCCAGGTTCGGTCGAGCCCGGAGAAGTGGGAAGGAGAGTGAGGGAGGAGAGAGAGACTGCGCGCTTGCAAAGACTGATATTCATTTATTGGAACATGCTGGATCAGACCTACCTCGAGCACAGATAGCGTTGTTATACACAAGGAGAGAGAGAGAGAGAGGAAGAGGAAGGTCCTCGAAATTTACACTTGGTGTCCGAGTCAGTCTGAATCTTGCTGAGCTATCTCCATCATCGCTCTAAGGTTGAAGGCAGCACTACGACCGCCTGCAGCAGTCGAAGAATCTTCAGAGTCCGAGCTGGCAGACGATAGAATCGGGCTCTCTCGAACTCTCTCGTCCCCATCATGTTCTTCGTCCTCGTCCTGCTCCTCCTGCTCCTGCTCGACAGCCGAGTAGACATTCGCACTCTCAGACGGCACGTTGAATCCTAGCGCATTGAGAGCAGCCGTACCCAGGGAAGCCATCTCAATTCCGATCTGCTTCGTCCGCGATCTGCCCGCGCTGGTCCTCTCCCCCTCCTCGATCACAAACCCCGGATCATACTGGTCCCACCTCTCCGCGCTCTGAACCCGGGCTGCCATCTGCGCGCCCTCCCGATCCAGCTGGACTTGATCAGCGAAGGATACGCGCTTCTCTTCCCCCGGCACCCGCAGACCCTGGGGCTCCGAGTGGTCAGGAGTCACCTTTGCATGCTTCTTGAGCAGTGGCCGTTGACTTCCCTGAGGATGCAAAGACGGTGCTCGTCCTTTCTGCCCCTGCTCCTTGCTCTTTCTCGCCTGGCGCGACTGCTTGCCCTTGAACTTTCCCAGCACGTCAAGTTCCTTGGATCTCTTGCTATGCTTCTTGTCATCGGAAGAATAACCGGAGCAAGAAGAGTCTGAGTCGTCATCGTCGTTCGGATCGTCGTCGTCGTCATCATGATCATCATCGGCATCGTCGTCATCGCTCGTGTAATCTCTCCGCTTCTTCCTCGCTGCCAGCAGAACTTTCATCAATTGCGCGTCGGATTCCGAGCTCCACTTGAGGAAGTAGTGGACTACAACTCCTGCTGCTGCCACCATGATCGTTATGATCAACTTGAGAGGCCAGCAGAGTCCCTCGACACAGTCTCCGAAGCAATTGCTGAGCCCTCCTTGACACTCCCTGCACAGCTCGCCCGTGAAGCCGGCGGCACAGTAGGAGTTTTCTCCTCCCAGGCACGACTTTGGGTACGGGCACTGCTCCACCTGAAGCGGAATCCTGCACAATTCGAAGTAAGTTGGAGGTGCGAGGAGGGAGAGCAGCGAACTTGGAAGTGATGAAAAATCCCTGGAGAGCGATGATCTGGCTTCCACCAGGGCAGCGAGTTCCGAACGGGCACTTCTGACAAGGAACTTCCGGCTGCAATTTGCATCAAACTGACTGAATGGTGGAATCGAAGACAGGGGAGGGATAGGAAGGGGGGGGGGGGATGGCGAGGAAGCAAAAGACAGGAAGTGCGGAGAGGAAGAAAGACACGGAGATGGAGTTGAGAGAGAGGAAGAGGATTTCGATCAGTCCGCATGCATGCCCTACCGTCGGAGAGAAAGTCCCTGGCAAACATTGAACGCAACGAGGTCCGGGACCCACTACCTCCCCAGAGTGGCACTGCCTGACGTGCACGACTATGGGATCGCTCTGCAGCTCCTGCTCCGAGTACACAGCAGCCATGCTGACGACCGATCCTGGCTGTGCGAACAGCTGCAAGCCACGCCAGAGCGCCTCTCCTCTGTCCACGAGCGTTTCTACCTGACCCCTCAGCTCCGGCCTCGTTGGGTCCTCGGGTTCAAAATGGACGATCTGCATGCGTAGGACATACCCACTGGCACTTACGATCTCTTGCCCGTAGAAGTCAAACATCTTCGCCTTGAGAGGAGGGATGAATTCATCCCCTGAGTGGTACACGTAGTTCACTCGCTCGTTGCCGACTGCTAACCGTTCTACCGCACTTGCCACGTCCTTGCCATATGGTGCATCGTTGTCGATGAAGGTGCAGTTGTCCAGGACAGGCCCTCTCTGCTTCCAGTAGATTGCTCCTCCTCCACTCGTCGCCTTGTTCCTCTTGAACACAACTCTGCTGAGATGGGGAGACGCATTTTCACAGAAAATAGCACCGCCAAACTCCGCGATGCAGCGAGAGAAGGCGAGGCTACGCAGCGAGATAGCAAATCCTCCGCTTTGTATGAATGATATTCCTCTGGTCGATCCTTCGCAGTCGATCTCAACTGAGTTGTCCCCCACGCTTGATATCGCTACTTGCACCTTCGGAGCTACAAGGTTTACGTTTCCATTCCCCTTGCATACCCCCCCCTTTAAGTACACATGGTCGCCGCTCTGTACTCGATCCAGGACATGCTGGATCGTCCCACATGGAGCTTCCTGCCATCCGCATGCTTCGTGATCGGATCCTCCTGAGCAATCGACAAACCAACCGCGATCGCCGGCCGAGGGATCGACGGCAAGCGCTGTGCGGCAGTAAAGCTCAGAAGAGAGGAGGGAGACGAGGAGGAGGAGGAAGGGGAGAGGGATGGAGAAGAGACGAACCACTGTCCCTCTCTGCTCGCTGCATCGTCGCCTTCGCATCTTCCATCGCCCTCCTCCCTATCCGCCATTACCCATGCCGTCCATTACAACATCATCCCCCTCCTACCCCTGCTACCCTTCTGATAACCCGAAGTCTGACCCCTACCCTGCGGAATTGACCCCTACCCCCAAACCGAATCGATGTAGATGACTACACATCGATACACCCAGCAAATTCCTGCTTAAAGTACCCCTAATAATCATGATCATATCACCCCCACCACCAAAGACACACAGAGTACCCCTCGAAATTGATCGGATAAGGATGGGTTTAGAGGCAGAGAACATGAACATGTGAACATGAACATAAGAACATGTACATGAATATGATGGTGAACACAAGTAACGACTTGCGATCAAGTTTAGTTTGTTGTGCTGTTGTTGGAAACACTGCAAGGTAGGCCGGGATGTTCGTTCAAACTTAAGAGAACGAGTGAAAACCAGTCGAAAGTCGACAGCTCCAACGATCTTGCTAAGAAGAGCTCTGCCAGAGATCGCTGCGTGTGCGGAGAGCCGAGTCGTCAGACATGAAGAAGTTGAAAGTCACCAAGATTCCTTCACGCAAGGAGCTCTCGGCCGCGTCTGCCCGGCAAGCTGCCCATCATGCGAGCGAAGATGTCTTCTTGAGAGAGTGCTGGCAACGAAACTTGGAGCGTGATGGCATTCGCTTCATCCCCGAACGAAATTTTCGTCAGCCCATCCCCTACATCTCTATCTCTGCATCTTTCGAGGATGTTGACCCCCCAGCTACAAGCTTCCAGGACCTCACCCCCATGATCACTAGAGTCGATTCCCCAGGGTCTTACCTCAACCAGACTCTGCACCAGCTCACGTATGGGAGCGGGAGGAACGAGACATTCTCTGCGATCAACGTGCTCATATCGCTAGTGGAGGGGGACAACGACAGGGCGAGGGCTGCCCGCAGGCAGGTAGCCAAGACACCTGCGGTCCTCGACGGAATCTTCAGGTTTGCAAAGATCTGCGATCAGGAGCAGAAGACGCAGGTGTACAAGTGCCTGAGCCAACTCGCGCTGTACAACGAGAAGGTCAGCCTGCACATCTTGTCCGACACTCACGGGATTGCGGGCATCATCAAGGCCGCGGTGAGTTCGCCCATGGCAGCGCAGGTGGAAATCGCCCGGCTGTTCAATAACCTTTGCGCGTATGAGAGCACAGCTGAGGTGATCGAGAAGAATCAGAGCTTTCTAGAGGTGATCAAGAGGTTCTGCTCTTCCCCCTCCTTCCTCGTCCGGTTCCGCGCCCTGTCCTCCGTCAACGCCCTCTCACGGTTCCGTTGCGCCCGCTCAACACTGCAGAGGACAAGGTTTCTGGAGGAGGCGGTGCTGGTGATGAATCTCGAAGGAGGAAGCAGCGATCAGAGAGCCATCTTCGAATTCATCCAGGCTTGCGCTACCCTGAACCTCCTGCCCTTGCAGGATAGGAAGGGCTTCAAGGTTGAGAAGAACACCCTGGCGACAAGCCTCAGGTTGCTGAGCTACTCTCTTGCCCAGCGGCCGTTCTCAGGTATCACCTTCCGTACGATACATCTCTTTCAAGCCATCAACAACTTTCTGAGCAATGAGGAGAACAAAATCCTTCTGTTCCGGATGGGGCTCGTGGAAAACCTGGTGGAGTACACGAGAGCATGGAGCGAGGACCCGTCTCAGTCACTCAACGATCAGCTTGAGGTGCTCGAGCTCGCGTTCCAGATGATCCTGACCATGTCAAGTCTGCACGCCTGCAAGCTTCTGCTGCGCAGACAAAACTTCGGCACCCAGATCGTGAGGTTTCTGACCTCGAAGCCCAGCGACATCGTACTGCAGTACTGCAAGGGGCTGATTGAAGAGCTCAAGTACATGGAGAACGTACAGGACTTCCTCGTCCGGCCCAAGACCAGCATGTCGTCGCACTCGACGATGGGGGCGAGCCGGACGATTCCAAGAAACACTTCCGGGCAGAGGCTTCGCACGGTACCGATTGTGTCCACGTCGTTAAGGAGGGAAGCGTCTCTGAGTCCCTCGGTGAGGAGGAAGGGACAGTTCTCCCCGCTCAAAGTTGAGCCGTTCAAACGAGCACTCCGGATATCCTTGGTTGAGCAGGCGGTCAGGCGGTGGAAGGCGATCCTGGCGGGACTGCAGGAAGAGTGCTTCAAGAACAAGAGAGAGGTCCCTTCCGATGCCGTGTACCAACTCTTCACCTCCAACGACGTCCTCCCGAATGATCACGACTGGGAGCTCTTCCTGGAGGGAGTAGGAGCTGACCCTGTCAGGGGGTGCTCGCCAGCAGCTCTCCTACGCGCGTTCTGCACTGCGCTGGGTCAACCGCAGACGGGGCAGGGGAGCGACATGCTCGTCGATCAGGAGGAGGAAGTGCTGCAGGTCATTCTCCTCAAGGACCTGTCGAGGTTCGAGAAGAAGATCCAGGAGGGATGCCATTGGGTAGAGGAGGAGGACGTCACCGTCTCGGCCCTGGCGGACCGGCTGAGGGAGCTGGGGTGGGAGCTCAATGAGGTTGGCAGGGAGAGCGTCAGGATGGCGTGCAGCTCCGCTCACAGCAACTTGGTGGACGTGAGGATGTTCCGTGAGACTCTGCATGAGATCGCTGCCGGGTTGAGGTCGATGCCAGCGTACGAGGCCATGGAGGAGATTGGCTACGAGACGAGTCTGCACAAGTGGATGAAGCAGAACCTGCCTCCTCCTCGCAAGAAATCCCTCGCCCTGCAGACCAGGAGGGCCCAGAGCGACGGAGGGAGCCGTCTCCTTGCCAGCTTTTCAGCTTCTCTTGTCAACAGCACGGGCAACTTCACCAACTTGCCCTCGACGACATCCGATGTGTCCTTCTGACGACACCAACTTGATGTAACCAGCTGGGTTGTAATTACATGTAGTCTACCTTGCCTCGCCTGCTCCTCGTCCTTCCCTCTGTTGAGCTACGAAAATCCGGCAGCAGCACTGGACTCCTGGTGAAACGTCTCGGAGAGCTGCTGGTCCCCGACAACAGGTGCTCACGGAGGAGGTTCAGTCCAGCAGGCTACATCTTTCTTTCTCAGCTCGCCGTCTGACCCTCCGACTCGCAAACTACCGGCCGGGCACGAGGTGATCTCGACCCTCGCGTGATTCCCGACGTCAAAGGCTGTTCCCTCCTGTCAAACTCCTCGCAACCGTCAGGCTCTTGTGGCTCTACTGCTGCTTCTTCTCCGACTTGTTCGCGACCCTGTCCTGGATGACTTGAAGTTGGTCCTGCAGCGAGGAGAAGAACTCTTTCTCCCGCAGCTGCCTCAGGGACTGCTCATTGATGCCACCGGGAGTTTGGCTCCTGTCCGTGAGGGCCTTGAAGTCCGTCTCGTACTTCGAGTCATGCGCCAGGGCAAACAGCAACTCCCCTACGAACTTGTTCGCCTTCTCCTGCGGCACCCCAGTCGACGTCATCCACTCGGAGATGGTGTGCTGCATGTAGTAGAAGGGCGCCATCAGCGAGGAGACGGACATGAAGGAGAAGAAGTCTTCCTCTCTGTCCAGGTTGATCACCGTGCTGATCTCGTCGAACAGTTTCTCCAGCTTCTCATCCCTGGGATACATCGGGAGCGGCCCTTGCCCCTGCGCGATCGGAGGCATCGGGATAGCTCTGACCACCCGCGTGCATGGCGCGACCAGGGGCAGGATGTCGTCGATCCTAGCGGTGGAGATGAAGGAGACGATCTTGAGATCCTCTCTGAACTTGAGCTCGCCCAGCACTTGCTTGTAGACCTGAGGGGTGACGCACACGCAGAGGACGTCGCATGAGTCGACCACCTGCTGGTTGCTGCCACTCACCTCCACCATCTCGGGGTACTTGGCCGCTAGGAGCGAGGAGGTGTTGGCGTTGCGAGGGCTCAGGTAGATTCTCTTGGGGGCCAGGGAGAAGGAGCACAAGCCCTCCACGACCGCCTTAGCAATGGTCCCAGTCCCCAAGAAGCCGAGCCGAGTAATTGGCTCAACATCGATACTTTCTTCTCCTACAGCCTCCCCCACAGAGGCCTGTACCTTGTCGCTGCGACCTGCCTTTCCTACAAGATTGTCCTCTACCAGCTTTTTGAGCACGTCATCCCGCATCTGCCGTACTCGTTGCACATTCTCCAGCCTGTCGTCGAACCCTCCCCGAAGCCCCAGGACTCCATTAGCATTGGTCCTTGTAAGCGCCGGTAGGCAGAATGTCTCTGCGGCTCCTGAGATAGCAAGGTGAGAACAAGGACACTGCTCTCTATTCAACGAGCCTGCTTCATCTCCGGACATCACACTAAGGATCTCAACATGGGAGGACAGCCAGAATCATGCAAGATGTTCTAGCAAGTATACAACATGTTCTAGCAAGTATACAACATGTTCTAGCAAATATACAACATGTTAGAGTACGTAAACAACATGCTCTAGCAAGTATACAACATGTTCTAGCAAGTATACATTATGTTCTAGCTTCCATGCTCACCGATCATCATTGCTACCAGAATGATTCGCACTGCCAACACTGCCATGTTTGGTGAGGCCTCGAAATTCCACATCCCCGCACATACCCATGAGCCACATTCATGACGATGGACAGCAGCTGGATGGACAGCGAATGTCGGGTACTGATGTAGATTGCTGCCTTCTCAAAGTCCCCGAGGCGAACTTACATATTTATCTAAAACTATTATAGAATTTAATACTTGGAATAGGATTTCTAATAATGCTAGGAGATATCTAATAACTTAGTACCGTCAAATCGTCACCGAGCAAGTACCAAAGTGTACAAATCGACGTTCTAAAATATTTATATAAATCCATACAAACGTTTTTTTAATTGGCCCTCAGTCGCCATGGCTGCGGCTGCGGCGCTATTCGAGGCAGCTGAGAGGTTCAGCAAGGACGCAAGGGGAGGAGACGAGGGAAGGACAGCAAGGATTCCTATCGCAGGTAAGCTCGAGCTCCTCTGGCAGGGCAAAGTCATGCTTTCTTCCTCACCCTCCTCGTCGCTGCAGGCGGATCGGAGGGCCTGGCAGGAGGCGAGCCGGGGTGGCTGCCTCAGGAGCACTGTGTGGTGGGGAAGGAGATCGAAGCCCAAGACTTTGAGAAGAACTGGTATCGAGCATGCATCAAGGCTGTGAACCTGACGACGAGGGAGGTAAGGGGTCTCGCCTGCTGCGGTCGATGATGCTCCTGGAGAGGATTTCCTGACTTGACCTTGGTTCGTTGAGCAGGTGAAGGTGCGGTTCGCTGGGTGGTCGAGCCGATGGGACGAGTGGATCAGCATCTCAAGTGGGCGAGTACGGATGATCAAGCATCCCGATGCGGAGACCATCTGTCGGGACGGATCCCCTCTGTTCACTCAATGGCTCGAAAGGAAGGCGAGGGCGGCGAAGCTGAGCAAGACCAACAGCAAGCCGAGGAAGGCAGAGGGAGGAAGGAGGAGAGCTGTGAAGTCCATCCACAAGGCAAACGTCGCCTTGCTCGTCAACCTGATGGATCCATCCTTTGGCAGTGACGGTCATGACACTCCTCGCTTCATCCCCTCACTGACCCGTTTCTGACGCATTTCAGGCCGGCAGCATACGCGCATGGCGACTGTGCATGCGACGCTCCTGGAGTCGCAGTCACCATCCTTGTCGCCGTCAAGTCCGGGAGACAGAACTCTCCTAGCTGAGAACCAAGACTCGCAGATCCCCTCGAGCGAGGGTCCAACCAGGGTTCGCCGCAAGGCATCAGATGAAGAGCTGATGACCCCTGCAAAGCGCTCCCCTGCCCTCGTTGACACTCGTGAAGATGCAGAGAGGAAGGGCAGCGAGCCTGAGGACAGACCTGCTGTCATGCGGCAGCTTGTTGCGAGCAGTCCTGCAACCACCACGAGGCCGACAGAGGTGGGAAGCGGGGAGGTAGTAGAGTGAGTATCCGGAGGACAAGGAGTGACTGGCTGTCCTCATGCAGGAATGTTGCTCTCCTCCTCTCAACTCGATTCGCAGTCGTGCGATGGCTCGTCTGTTGGATCTGAAGCAGTCAAGTCACGCTGTGAGCATGGAGGAAGGAAGACCGAGTAGGAGGCGACGGACAGCAGCTCCAGACCGCCCGAGCGCGGTGAAGGAGGAGGGAGGGAGGAAGGGTTCGCTATCCCATCTCCCGTCGTCCTCGAGGCAGACGAGCGACTTGAGAGGAAGAGACTTGATAGGAGCGAGAGTCCGGAAGCACTTCAGGAGGTACGGGGTGTACGGGGGGCGCGTGGTGAAGCTAGACCGGTGGTATACCATCCTCTACGAGGACGGGGACGTCGAAGACTTCACCCTGAACGAGGTCCTCGTGCACCTGGTCGACGCCTCCTGCTCCCTCGGGATGAATCTGCTGGAGCAGGGGCAAGGGGAGGTGAAAGCTGAGCTGCCTGCCGACTTGAGGCCAGAAGGTGTGCTGGCGGAGGAGGGGATCGTTCCCTTCCTGTGGAGCGCTGTGAAGTCTGGGGTCTCCTGCAAGCAGTCGGTGATGGAGAGGAGGGGAGAGCAGGACATGCTCGACGTCATCGAGCGTCGGCTCTTCTCCCTTGTCCCCTGCCTTGACAAGTCGCAGCTGCTCATGAGCACTTGGGCGCTTGCGGCCATGAACTTCGAGGGCAAAGAGCCGCTGCTGACGCTGATCGAGGACAGGGTAAGGATCCTCTTGGAAGGATCGACGGAGGAGGAGAGGAACATGCTGCTGTGGTCGTTCCGGCAGCTGGCCAAGGGGGACAAGGCTCGTCGGGGGGAGGAGGAGGAGCGCGAGGAGGACAAGCGGCGACAAAACCCAAACTGGCGGCGATATAGATGACCTTGACATTCATTGATTCGAAGGAAAACCTCTTCCTCTCTTTGATTCTCTTAGTCTCAATATCCTGTCCCCTCCCACCCTCCCTCGCTCTTCTCACCCCGCGCAGCCCTCCTTTCCCTGGGCCCTCTCCTCCCCTTTCTGTTTCAGCAAAGATCCTCTTGCCATCTGTTCGCCTCCCACCTGACCAAGGAACCATCCCTCCCCCTCCCAGCGCTCATCCCCCCGCCTTCATCCTCCCTCTGACTCCCTTCAGAGCTCTTCGTGCATCTCGACAGGGAACCTCTTGGCGCCGTGCTCCTCCTTGTGCTCCTTCCCCTCCAGCAGCTGCGCGATCCACTTGAGGAGGAGGCTGAGGGAGAGGGCGAAGAGAAAGAGGATGAAGCAGATAGTCCAGCCCGTGGCGTCCAGCGGTACCGTCCGGCAGGGAGGTATCCCCAGCTGAACGCAGGAGATCTGGAGGAGGAGGAGGACGAGGCCGGAGCCTAGCAAGCGCTTGAGCGACACCTGCTTCAGGTCCCCCGTGTGATAGCTGAGCACCGTCCCCAGCAGCGTCCCAAGCTGGAGGAGCATGAAGGCGTTGAAGATGAGGGAGAAGAGGTAGTTACCGCTCTGTGACTTGCCCTGCCCGTTGGGCATGAGAGGGACGCATGCTCGGCTGCCCTGCTCATCTGCTGTGCAGTCGGTGATCCAGGAGGCTCCTGTGAAGGAGAGGAGGGAGAGGAGGAGGCACTGGCTGCCCGCCTGCACCAGCAGCCTCCCCTTACACTTCCCCGAGAGTAGCGAGACGTTCCTGCGGTAGGGAGACCGCGGGGCCTCGTGGGAGCGAAAGTGGTAAGGGAGGCGATCGACGGATGCGACGCAGAGGAGGGAAAGCACGTCGACAACCACCTTCATCCAGAGCATCTGCTCGGGGAGGAAGATCTCGACCCCACCGAGAGCTGCCAGGAAGCAGGCGAATGGGGCGACGATGTTGAAGTTGGTGCGGTACTCGAGGTAGGCATGCAGGTTCTGGTGGAACCTCCTTCCCCTGTAGAGGACGGAGGCGACGGAGCTCAGGCTATCGTTGAGGCTGATCAGGTCCGCCTCCTGTCTCACCACCTCGTCCCCCTGATGCCTCATCGCGATCGTCACGTCCGCCTGCTCCCGCACCCTCAGGTCTTCAAGGTGCTGGCACGAGGCTCCCACCACCTCCCCGCGCTCCTGCAGGCACCTCACAAGCTCCGCCTTCTCCTCCGAGCTCGCTCCTGTCATGACGCGCACCGATGGAGCGATCGCCGCTCGCTCCTGATCCGACAGCCTCCTCCACTCTGCAGCCGTCACGATGCTGCCGTCCTGCAGCAGGGAGCACGTCTCCGCCGCAAGCTTCCCGCCATCCACCTGCTCCCCCGTGAAGACGCGGACCTTGACGCCTGCCTCCTCGCAGCTCCTCACCGCCTCCTCGATGCCTGACCGCATCTGACTGCGCAGCCCGAGTAGGCCAACGAAGGTCAAGTCGGACGAGAGCAAGCAGCTGTGCTCGTCGAGTCCGATAAGCCATGAGTCAAGGTCTATCACCCGGTCGTCGTCGTCGTCCTCCTCCTCCTCCTCCTCCAGATCCAGCTCATCTTCCTCCTCCTCCTCCCGCACGATGGGCTTGACAGAGAAGGCTTCAGGAGAGGGGACGTCCCGGTATGCAAGTGCGATGCTGTTGATCGACGCGCTGTGCAGGGACAGCATGACGTTCTTCAGCGCTGACCTCTGCTCTTCCTTCAGTACCTCCCTGCTTCCGTCCGGCAGGAGGTAGAATCTACAGCAGTCCAGCACAATCTCTGCTGCTCCAGAAGCATAGAACCGTCCTGCCCCCTCCTCTTCTCCTCTCAAGAGGACGCATGCTCTCTTGGAAAACGAGCTGAAAGGCCACACGCGCACGACTCTCCTCCTGCACTCCTTGCGGACGGCATTGCAGTCGCAGCCAAGTTGCTCGAGCGCGAGCTGAACGCCCGTATCAACTGACCCTGCCGAGGAGCTGGTGCTCCACTGGACTTTGGACAGCGACTCGGCTCGTGAACCCCTGAGGGGAGAGACTCTCGTGTTGAGCACAAAACCCTCGCAGAGCAGCTGGGATGCGAAGTCGTCCAGGTGCTCCGAGAGCCAGCATCTTCCGTTCAGGTAGCGGGTGGCACTAGAAGGGGCCCCTGCACCGGCACCGGCAGCAGCAGCACCACCACCAGCCTCTACTCCCGCTGCTGCTTCTGCTCCTCTTCCTGACTCGCCTCCTGTCCCACATCCGCCAGCTTCTTGAACGTCTGGCACAATTTCCGACTCGCTGCTCAGCTGTGCCTGCCCAGGATGTTGTCCCTTAGGGAGAAGAGAGTCAAGAGGAGCTGCCGCCTGTTCGAGGACGCAGGACCCATCCGTGTTCCCTTGTTCTACCACCCCAGGACCCTCCGAGGAAGCCTGAGAACGAGAGGCGAGCGACAGCCTCTGGTGCAGTCTAGACTCTCGATACCCCAGCCCGCAGATATGAGCCATAACGAGCGTCTTGGGGCCCGAGGTCAGCAGCCCGTTCTTGTCGATGCAGATGCTGGTGATACTCCCCATCACCTCGAGCGACTTCATGCTGCGGATCAGGATCCTCTCCTTCCTCGACTGCCTGATCGAAGAGGCCAGGAGGGCAGAGAAGATGGCGTTGAGGCCGTGGGGAGCCAGGAGGACGACGATGGCTGCCGATGCCATCACCGCCTCCACTAGCAGCCTCAGCTCTGTGGAGGAGAAGTGTAGGATGTGCGGCTCCCAGTCCAGCCCCTCCTCCTTGCACTGCGTCGAGTTGTTCAGCCCCGGGTACCCTAGAGCACAGTTCTCCACCGGCCCATCGAAGCAAGAGGGAGAAGCAAGCATGATAAGGAAGTATGCTCCCCTCAGGAAAAAGATCACGACTGCAACCACTCCCCCCACCCGCGCCATCCTGCTCGCAAGGCCCTCGAGCCGCAGCCTAAGAATCGAGTCCCCGGCCAGCTGCCTCCCCAGCCCTTGCCCCACCAGGCTCTCCCAGCAGGAGAAGGTCCCCACTGCCGTCACGAGGAAGCGTCCGTGCCCCCCGATCACCGCGCTCCCAGCTGCAAGGAAGGGCGACTTGATCGGGCACTTGGAGACGCTCTTCCCCTCCTGAGTCTCCTGCGACCTCCTGTGGCTCCCGTCGAACTTCAAGTGGCTCTCGTCCACCAACAAGCTGGACGAATCGATCAGAATGCCGTCGGCCGGCACGATGTCGCCCGCATGTACACAGACGATGTCGCCCACGAGGAGGTCTTGGTGCTTGATCCGCACGTGCTTCTCCTTCTTGATCACCGTCGTCTCTACATCGCGCCTGCTCCAGTCCAGCATGGAGCACAAGCTCTCCTGGCGCCAGCACTCGTAAGCTGCCTTGAGAAACGCCATGGCTGCACAGCCGAGGAGGACGTTGACCCCCTCGCTCCACGCGTAGCACTGCTGCGCAGAGCCCTTGGCCTTGCTAAGACGAGCAGACAGCTCTATCTTGTACGGCCCTGGCATGTAGATCGGGATGCCGAGCGTCCACAGAGGCCGAGCTGGGCACTTCAGGTCGTAGAGGTCGCCGACTGCCGGGTCGATGTAGACGAACCTGCACTCGAGCACCCCAAGAGCGAAGCAGATGATCGAGCTTGCCACCAGCACTACCATCGCATCCTCCATAAACATGTAGAGGAAGAAGCTCGACAAGCCTGATCCCTCCCCCGGGCGCTGTCGAACCTTGTTGACCCCGTATAGCAGCGCTCTCTTGCCATCGCAGAGGCGGGGCAGCCCCTTCTCGCTCTTCAGCCAGGACAGGTTTGTGTAGCCGTTCCGCTCGTCCTCCATGAAATCTTTCAGGTTCCTGTCCTCCTCCTTCAACGTGGTTTCAATGCTCGCAGCGATGCCCTGAACACCGCCCATAACCCGCAGTATCTCAACTTTCCTCATCCTCGAGAGTTCCGCCAGGTCTGTACGCGTTATCCTCCGTCCATTCCCCGTCAGCCTGTACCTGTCCTCCAATCCGCCACTCGAGAAGTCAAGAGCGTTCAGGTATCCCCCATCATCGTAGTCGTCGATGAATCTCTGTGCTTCCTCCTCAGTGAAAGAGAGGTCCACAGAGTCTTCAAAGACGTCGAGGTAACCATTCTCCTGCTCCATCGCTCCTCCTCTTCCTCCGCCATCTCGAGGATCGTACCCATCTCCTCCCTCCTCCTCCTCCTCCTCCTCCATGAGCCGCCTCCTCAAGTCCTCCCTCCACATCCTTGCGACATCCCGACAAGCCTCACGGTACCCCACCCCACCCCACTCATGTCATTGTACCCCTACCCACCTCCATTTTTAAGTACCGGTATGTTCATATTTTAAATGACCCCCTTGTGGTAGATGCTGAAACAACGAGGCCATATAATAACCCCTACAAATGGCTGCTGACTACCCCACGTACCCCTGATTTCACCTAATAGTACCCCCTTTCCAGGCAGACCCCTTGCAAACATCCGGAGTGCTCCTTGTTGGGTATGTGGGTGATGAGATGTCGGGCTGTATGAGGGGCTCAAGGGCGACATGAGATGGCGGTCTGGGTGGTGGCTGGCGATGTTGGTGGCGATGGTGAGGATGGAGGCAGATGTCAGGTAGGAGGAGGAGGAGGAGGAGGAGGAGGAGGAGGAGGAGGAGGAGGAGGAGGAGGAGGAGGAGGAGGAGGAGGAGGAGGAGAAGGAGGAGGAGGAGGAGGAGGAGGAGGAGGAGGAGGAGGAGGATGATAAAGGGCAGGGGGAAGCTTTATCTCAGAATCTCAACCTCCTCAAGCTCGGTGACTGCAACAATTTACTGGTTTCGTCCTCTGA